TTTCTGCATTTAAGATTTTTCTCTTCACTGTAATAAAATAAGAAAAAAAAAGTAAATGTAGCCTGAAAATTGCTTCTTGGGCAGGTTAAATTCACCACATTACAAACGCATTAGTGCCTGATGGTATTCAGAGACGGAAGTCTACAAAAAGAGGCCTCCAAAACCCAAACACAGCTTAAGTACCAATCCAAACTGCAGCAGCAAATAAGTCACCAAACATACTTAAAGGGTTAGTTCACCCAAAAATTTTAATTAGCTTGTGTTTTACTCACCCTCGAGGCATCCTAGGTGTATATGACGTTCTTCTTTCAGACGAATCCAGTCGGAGTTATATTAAAAATTGTCCTGGCTATTCCAAGCTCTATCATTGCAGTGAGCGGGTGTTGCAGTTGAACAGTCCACAAGTCGTCAAATAAAGTCAAATAAATAAATATTTCAAACGTAATAAACACTTTTCTCTCACTTCCGGTATCTGTCATACCTCTGAGATATGCTAGTCTCGCGAGTTTGTTTATAGGAGCAAAGGAAGCAACGTATCCTTACTTTAGCAAAGGAAAACCAGTCTCCTCTTGGTTTATATCGAAATCCTCTCACATTTTTCTTTGCAAATCCTCGGTTTGTACTTCTAATTCGTGACCGGCTTTTGTTTTGTTCTCTCTCCGCATTCATCACTAATCACGCAATGCCGCCGGTACGACTTCCGCGTATGACAGACACCGGAAGTGAGAGAAAAGTGTTTATTACGTTTGAAATATGGACATTTTTCTTACAGAAACACATGGATTCACTACAGGAGGCCTTTATTCACCCCCCAGAGCCGTGTGAGGCACGTTATATTATGAATGCGCGTGCTTTATTTGACGACTTGTGGACTGTTCAACTGCAACACCCGCTGACTGCAATGATAGAGCTTGGAATAGCCAGGACAATTTTTTATATAACTCTGACTGGATTCGTCTGAAAGAATAAAGTCATATACACCTACGATGCTTCAAGGGTAAGTAAAACACAGTCTAATTTTCATTTTTGGGTGAACTAACTCTTTAACCAACCTTCAAATGAACTGCGCTGGGAGGCAGGGTTATGCAGGCAGAGCACTGCGGTTAGAGGCAGGGGATTGGCTAGTGAGAGGAGACTCATGCCAGGCTATTGGCTGAAAAACACACACAAGGTGCACAGTGAATTACTGGCGGTTTTTTTTTATGTACATTTGCAATTTAACAAGATTCAAAGAAGACGAAAAAATAAACAGAACAAAGAACAGAAAAAGTTATAGTACTGGTTACAGAAATTATTTGTGTTTTTACAGATTAACCTCAGGGTTAGATGATAGCAAATGTAATCTAAATGAAAGAATATGAAAAAGGATGCACAATTAAATATCCCTTAAGCATCCCTAATACCTTCTATGTAGGAATACCATTTTTATCCATTTCAGTGTGAAAAGACTGACATTTTTCCAAAAGTGCAAGGGTAAACTTACGTTCCAACAACATTTTAAATGAAATAAGAATCAGTTCAAATCATACAAAAAAGGCTGATGCAATGACATTTTGGAGTAAATTAAAAGCTGAACTGAAACATACTGAGCATTAAGGTGTGGCCACATTTACTGCTGTTCAGCAAATTTCTGAGAAATCCAGTCATTTCAAAAGAAATCCTCACAAAAGTTTCTCAAATCAGATTTTGCAACGGTTCAATGCAAATTCACCGTGTTGGCCAACAGAAGGCTGCTTAGTTTGAAAGTGACCTCTATGTATGGTTACATTACTGACAAAAGACTGAAATAAATTTCTCTAATGTGACTGCATGATTTTTTCACATTCATATTTCTGATGTGGTCTGTCTCTGGAGGGTACCCCAAAACCTCTGATGTAGTGGCAGCTGTTCGGGGTTCGAGGACGACTTTGCGGTGGGGTTTAGGGAGGACGAGCTCCAGTGGTCCTGACACAGAGGCGCTACCCAGTGTTTGGAGGGAGGGACTCTGAATATGTGGCAGTGGCAGAGTTTGGTTACAGTGTCCAGGCGCTAATTGGTCTCTGGTGGATTGTCACCAGGTACTGAGTTCAGGACAGTTTGACAGGAAGAGCTGGAGTATTCTGACAGTGGGGGGGCTGGCATTCCAGCCATTAGAACGAGAGAGCGAGCGGAAGAAAGCAGGACTGAATCACAGTATGCAGCAGTGGTATGAGCCATGCTTTTATTTATTTTTAATAAAGGTGTGGCGAGCTCCTCGCAGCCAGAGAGACATGCTGTGCTGTCTAATGTGTGATGGTGAGTGCTGACACTTGAGCTTCTAGCATTCATGTGTCAACAGCTGGAGTGTGTGTGTGTGTATACCTGGGGTTGGTGAGGTTGTAACAGGACTTCCAAATCTGCAGCATGCGTTTACAGGAGAGTAACGCCTCCTCTGGACCTCGACACAACGTCTCCAACTTCACCTTAGTGAATAATAGACTAGAGACAAAAAAAGTGTTTATAATCACTTTCCGTTCATCACACTGACTAATGAAGTGTTTAATAAACAGAGGAGTGTTTATTGAACACAGATAGAGATGAATCAGTCTAAATCTCTTCTGCAAGCCCTTTTAAATAAAAAACTTTAAACCAAAGTCAAGATTCAGCCCTTTCTGCTGGAATAACTTCAAATAAACATCAACAGAGCAGATCAATAGATTTCTCTTGATAATACAATAAACTGAACAAGGAAAAAACATCCATGAATACTGTGTTCAACTGTACAGCTATATTGCATGTAGTATGGTCTGAACACATCTCTCTCTTTATATATATATGAAGCATTCGCCCCCCGGTGTGTCCACATTATCGAATCTGGCCCCTTTTAAAAAATGTTTGGAGGCCCCTGGTCTATTGTGAATGTATGATGTATTGTATATTGTGTATTTGTGTTATGTATTTGCATTATATTTAGTGTTGCATTGTATATTGTGCATATGTGTTGTGAAGTATAATAAATTCTGGTCAATATGGATAAGCCAACAATTATTTTCATGTAATGACCATTAACCAATAAATAGCTGATTTTAATTATTTAAACACATTTAAAATGAAACACTACAATTAAAATCAATAATTTAAATGCTATAAGCATCAAATGCTACCTTATCTTTGGGGTCAGGAAGACTTTTTTTTTTAAGAAATACTTTTATTCAGCAAGGATGCATTAAACTGATCAAAAGTGACAGTAAAGACATTTATAATGTTATAAAAGACATCTATTTCAAATATGTACTGTCATTTTGAACTTTCTATTCATCAAAAAACTCCTAAAAATATATCAACTGTTTTCACAAAAATTGGGTTCTTCTTGAGAAGAACCTAATAAACTTGTTAGAATGATTTTTGAAGGATCATGTGACACTGAAGACTGGAGTATTGGCTGCTGAAAATTCAGTTTTGTCATCACAAGAATAAATAACATTTATAAACAAAAATAACTGATAATAAATTGCAATAATATTTCACAATATTACTGTTTTTACTGTATTTTTGATCAAATAAATCCAGCCTTGGTGAGCATAAGAGACTACATTCAAGAAGCTTAACTTGAAATGAGCACAGAATCAAATGTAATTTAAATGTAACGATAGGGAAAATGCACAATTAAATGTCAAATATTAACTAATATATATAAAATCATTCAAATTATGTTGTTTTGTATTATATTGAGTGCCGTTTTGTATTTTTTGCATATGTGGATGGATGTTTGTGGTGTATTGTATCTTGTCGTGTTGTTAATGAGTGCACACAGAATCCCTTATTAACACCTGTATTTCACACACATTTCTGCAGACAGCAGATCTGCTCACGCTGAGTGAAAGTCCCACCATCGAGAGTGCAGATGGGCATTTCTATAATCAGATATGGCAGCATGTGAAGAGATTCAGCCGGTGTGTGTGTGTGTGTGTGTGTGTGAAGCAGATACCATATATAGAGACTGCTCTTCAACAGCTCACTGTCGTTGCAGCTGCTCAACTCGAGCTGAACCGAGATCGGTTAGAGCTTTAAACACGCGCTGCGGTCTCTGAAGGTTACATTGATCCGAGTTCAGCCAATTCAGAGTGCTGATGGCACATTCTCATCAGCCGCGCTTTCATCTCTGCTGTATTTGCTACACCGCTAGGACGCCCACACAACCGCTGAATTAATCCTGTCGCGTGTGTCTCTGTGTGTGGAATAAGGAGGGCTGGATGTTCTGGTGCATTTCCTTTCAAGGCAATGAAGCAAAATGCATGGAAACACACACACACAAACTGGACAAACACACAAAACCCTGCGGGGAAAACAGGGTGAAAATGATGGCCACAGAATTGGAGGAAAAAGAAAGCTGTTGTATTTTTTTTCTATTATGTAAGTGGCTGAAGCACACAGCCAGAAGGGCGACAACACACACACAAATACAGAGATGGAGGAGACTCTGATCAAATCGAATGAGAAGGGAATTTGCGTGGGGACTGCCCAGTGCTTCAAACATCCAACACACACACACGCATACTTCTAACTCGTCTAATTGAAGATGCCAGCAGCAGATATGTACCCATCTATCCCAACTGCTACAGCAAACACAAACATTCTCATTAGAGTGGGCACTGTGGCATGCCTCTAAATGTCTAAACACTGCCTGCCACTGTTTGTGTGTGTGCGTGTGTACGTGTGTGTGAATGCTGTGCAAAAGAATAGGCTCCTTGTCATTCTCTGATTGGCTGCTGACAACTGTATCAACTCAATGTAGTCAAAAAACAAAGCTACATCTAACTACAAGCTCGAGAGGTTAGATAAAGTGTGACGGTGACTGTGAGTGTGTTAGACTCACATGAAGTTCTCGGGGTATTCGCTGAGGGCCATCTCGATGATGTTGAGAGCATCGTGGTAGTGTTTTTGAGCTGACAGCAGCAGGGCCAGCAGGTGCAGCGAATGAACATCATCGCCCTGCAGCTGTAACGCCTGTCGTACATAACCGAGAGCCTCTTGGAAAGCACTCAGCGCTTTTTTCTGATACTCTTCTTGCATTCCTCGAAGAGATGCTGTAAAGACAGATGACAGAAGTGAGAAGATGGTAAGGACAAGATATAGCAAGAGTTCAGATAGGATTATAGAGTGTATAACAGAGTAAAGACAACGTATAGAGCATTACAGAGTGATCATTAAATTTTATAATTGTCATTACAGAGTGTGTTATATAAGAAAAGAGAGAGGTTATAAAGTATACATTTATAAAAATGTATGGAGCATGTTATAGAATGCAGAGAAAGCATATAAAGCATTGAAGTGTGTTTTATATGTGCAGAGGAAGGGAAAAGGACAAATCAATTACAGAAACGGTACAGAACGGTGTAGTTCCTCACATGGGGGCAGGGGGGAAAACTTCCACGTGGGCCATAGGATGAATAATATTATTAAATTATATTTGTAAAAATGAATGGAAACTTAATACCAACACACACACACACCAAAAATGCTTTTCTTTGCCTGCCTGTTCTGTCCTAAATAGGTCAGGCTTCTGAAAACAAACACTGAGGCTTGTCCGTGGCAAAAATAAAACATTAAGTAGAAAGTTATTAATAATGCTGTTTAATTTGGACACATTTGTGACATGCAGACTTGAGCTCTAACATCGAATCTGGGTTAGTTCTGAATACAAAAAAGCTATATGATATAATATGATAACATGAAATCATATATTATAAATAATTGAAGCAGTATTCTGGTACATGTCCACAAACTCCCATGCACACTGTTATAACCTCTAGACCAGACACAGACATTCATACAGAGGGAGTGTAGAGTGCAGATCTGGTCTTGTTACAAAAGCAACCACACCAGGAGGTTTAACTCGTCCCGCTGAGGGAGGGAGTATTCCTGAATGTTCCCATGAGTGTGGGCAGGACCTCACCTCTGAGAGCATCTCATACTGTCCGCGTCGGCCGAGCGCGATGGTCAGGAGGTCGTACACCAGCGAGGCGCTCTGGAGGCTGATGATTCGGTCGTTATTGTGTTCGGGGATTCGACTCAACACGGCGTCTCTGTTAGCCTATCATAATTACAGATATTAATACACACATTCCCCAAAACATACAGGATTACACTACACTACTGTTCAAAAGTTTTTGATTTTTTAAAATGTTTTTGAAATAAATCTCATTTGATCAAAAACAAAGTAAAAAAAAAAAAGCAATATTGTGAAACGTATTTATAATAAAATTAAAATAATGGTTTTCTATGTTAATATATTTTAAAAAGTAATTTATTCCTGTGATGGCAAAGTCTTATACTCTTATACTCCAGTCTTCAAATCTCACGTGATCCTTCAGAAATCATTCTAATATGCTGATTTGTTGCTCAAGAAAAGAATCTCTTATTATTATCAGTTATTTTTGTCTTATTTTTTTGTGGAAACAGTTAAACAGTTTTTACAAGATTCTTTGATGTTTAGAACATTCAAACAGCATTTATTTAAAATATAAATCTTTTGTAACATTATAAATACCTTTACTGGCACTTTTGATTAATTTAATGTGTCCTTGATCAATAAAATTATGAATTTTCAAACACAAATTGAACAGGAGTGTACTATGCTAGGGCTATCAATAACAGACACTACTAGTAATATTAGACACGTTTACATGTTCTCCTGTTCTGATGATTAAACCACAGCAGTTCAGAGGGTCACCAAATCTTTACTGCTACTCACCATGGACTCGCTGATTAACAACAGGAGTAAGGCCTCCTCTGTGTTCTCCTGTGGACAAAACAAACTAGAAAGAGAGAGAAAGGCCATCATGCATTTTTCCATCCATGACATCATGAATACAGTGACATGAAACAAACTTCCAGGATTCTGATCAATTAATTTTTCTCCCTTTTTTTATTTTCATGCTACATCATAAAAATAAATGAACAATTTTTGAACAATATCCCTAAAACAGGTGAGTGGAAAATGATCAGCAAAAAATCATTTCATGTCATTATTTTATATCATCTGGACTTAAGGGCTGCCCCCTAATAATCGACTAATCGTTAGTCGACCAACATTTTTTAGTCGCAGAAAAAAAATCCACATTGGCAAAGTCACGCAGATCGTTAACGGCTGATCTATGGTAATACAGTACATCCGGCAGGACATCCAAACGCTTGCCTATCAAACATCCACCACAAATATGACTTATCATCTGAAATAGGTAAGTATTAGCAACTTTACATGGCCGCTCAATCTAAAGTTAACCTAAAATGTGTGCTATATTCAAGTGTCTGTGTGGAAGCTGAACATTAGCGCTCACTGCAGGACAGATGGAGGTGCCGGTACGCTCACTTTCTCTTAAAATAGGCTACTCCGTAATTTTTGGTCATACAGATAAGAGTAATACATCTTTCAAATCTGTAAAGACTCTATGTTTATTTATGTGCACTCACAACAACAAAATGCGCTTTTGTGAAATAATGAAAGCAAACAGGATGCGCTCTCTGCCATCTCGGTCTGTGAACTCAAACGCGAAACTCTGTGTATATCTTTGCCATACAGACATTAAAATATATCTATAGAGTGAAATGTCCACTTTCAAATGAACCAATTCAAATGGAAAACAAATATTGTCAGATTACGTAATCTGTGTGAAACATGCACACAGGTGCTTCACTACTGCGGAGATGACGAGTCGGTGTCGCAGAGTTCATCTCTTAAACCAAAACAAAGAAAGCGCTTGTTTATCAGTGAATTATTAAAATGTTAATGCAGCCTCCTTACTGTTTTTCCCTGACACATTCATAATCATAGCTTCTGCCGGTGCACTGTGGCAAGCTTTATGCCTGTGCTTGAGCACTTATTAGGCTTTGTAGGCAATTAAAGCCTCATTATAATGATTTAAATGGTTTATTAATAAACGTGCGATTAGTCGACTAATGCTTAAAATGAACGACTACTAGTCGACCAGAAAAATCCTTAGTCGAGGGCTGCCCTGAGCAAAACATATTCAAATTTTTTTTAAACATTTGATATATTTTGGATTTTATGAGTTGTATCTCCCAGGATGCGTTGCCCTTTTAAGGGTATAAAAAACAGCCCAAGTCATCAATAATTCTATGATTTATTTGATGCAAACAAATATGGAATATTCAAAATATGCTGCATGACATGTCTGTGTCCTAAAATTGAGGCATAGACATTTTTCGTATTTTTACATTTTTTAACTGTCTCATCTTTATCCTCAGGGGTGGGTAATTCCAACCCTTGAGGTCCACTGTCCTGCACGGTTTAGCGCTACCCCTAAACAATCATATAATGTAATTTATGTAACAAAATAATTTTTTTAATGTAATCCTGAAGACTTTTGTCAGATTTTTGAGATGTGTTTGATCAGGGTTGAAACTAAACGCTGCAGGGTGGTGGCCCTCTAGGAGCAGGGTTGGACACCCCTGTTCTACCATAAAATGAGCTGTGTGAAACTCTGCAAGAAAAAAAAATCTAGTTAAACATGCAAAGATGTAGTCAACTAAATGTAATATTATCCGTTTTACATGCAGATATTAACATTTGCACAATTTTTAAACTCAAAATAAATAGAAAGTGGACTGTGTACAGAGGGCCTTGATGCCAGGAAGGCCAATAAGGCTCTTCCCTAAGGGTCCCTGGCCCTGGAATGCGATTTCTACTGAGGGGGATCTGCTCTCCTTGATGCGATTTATAACCCTCATCCCCCCCCCTTCTCTGAGATTTTTTTTTTTTTTTTATCAAGAGGCTTCCCCTTGTATTTTATGTGACTTCTGTGTATTTTCTACATCACCCCCCACACCCCATAACCACCAAGGGGGAACACCAAACCCCCTCAAAACCCCCCACCCCACCCCTCACACACACACCACCCCATACCACCCCAGAATTCACAATAATGAAATAACCAGAACTGGGGGCACAATTTACTTTGTGACACCATTCATTGTCAATATTGAGGATAATCCTTTTTTTATACCCTAATCAGGCAACGTATCTCAGGGGATATGCATATTTCAAAATGCGATAAAAGCAACACAAACAACATATGACTTAATTTTCTTTGTGAAGACAATGTTCACAATTAATACTAATAGTTGTATTGCATTTTTTTTGCTGAAAAAAGTAAGATTAATATATGCCTATTTTCTACATTTTCTGAATGTCCAGCCTTCATGGGCGGAAGTGCTGGTTTTAGGTCAAACTGACAAAACGAGCACAGAAAATTTGAACTAAGTGATGTGACCCCCATACTCCAAACAACCTCAACTATGATAATGATAACAGTATTGGATGAAAAATATTTCCTCATGCCTCCTACAAGAGACTAAAGAAATATTTCCTCGTGCCTCCTACAAGAGACTAAAGAAATATTTCCTCGTGCCTCCTACAAGAGACTAAAGAATTTGTATCTGGTGGTATACGTTGCTTGTTTTAGGGATATACATGAAACAGCGGTGCCAACTGCAAAAATTCCAGTGTTTCTGTAGTATTACGTATATACTTATATATACAGCATTTATTATTTTGAATTAGATGTGCTACTTTTCTCCTGAGTAGATGCGTGGGCGGCGGCTGAGGGCGTAGTCCTTAGTGTGAGGGGTGTGTCTGAGAGGGTCGTCCAGGGGGGAGTGGTGAGGGGGGTCTTCTAGTGGGTTCCAGTAACTCTGTTCACACATGCCCCTCAGCAGGATCTCTGCAAGCTGCCTGGCGATAGTCTAAACACACACACACACACACATATATATATATATAAACATAAATTTCTCAACCAGGGGCCGGGGCACATTACATAAAATCCTTTAAATTAGGCTAAAAAACCCTCTAAAAATTAAGATTAAAATTTATGCAAAATTTCTTAATCTTTGTTTTTTCTTAATTTAATCTTAATTTTTGTTTAAGAACCAGGATTATAGTCTTGAAAAACTTAGACATACAAGGGAATAATGAAAGTGAAATTTCTAGACCTGTACACACACACACACACACATGCTCATGCACATGCACATGCACACGCACACACACACACACACACACACACACATATATATACATATATTATATATTATGTATAATTATATTATATTAAATATATTATGTCAAGCTCTAAAATATTTTATTATTTTAAATAGTATAAACTGCAGAGGAATTGCTATATTTGTGAGTTAAAAATACATTTTAAAAACATTCTCTTATAAATCACAAACAAGTGGAAAAGCCATTAATAATAAAATAATATATTAAAAAAAGAAGCTGACACTATAGCAGAAGTAAATCTACAGAAATCTTCATGGAGGGATTTTGAATTTTGTCTTGGATAATGAGGGACCTTGGAGTCAAAAAGGTTGAGAACCATTGTTCTAGACAGAGACAACAACACAAGGTCATAAACACACACAACGCACCATACGCAGGTTCTGAGTGGTTCTGGTCTCTACGGCTCGGAGAATCTCTCGGAAGCGGCCGACACCACGGGTCAGGTTACTGCAGCACCGGGAAATGGAGAGAAAAGAGATCCATTAATCACCTCTAGAGAGCTGAAAAAAACCTGATGGCTGACATCAACAAATTTCTCATCGACTCCGTACAAACTTTCTTACACAAACACATGGAAAACAAGCACGCACCCTCAGGACTGGTCAGACCTCTACCACGATTTAATGAGCTCAAGCATCAAGCAGTCAAACTAAAGCAGTTACTTATCAGTGGACAGGAAGTTATCAGGGCCTGTAGGGCACATTGATTACAGGAGTTCTGGATACAGTGCAAGTCACAATTAGCACCTATATGAATGCTGCACCTGTGAATGTGTTAGCACCTGTCAACGACGGGTCAGTATCCTCAGACTGCGATATTCCCACAGCCTTTTTACAAACTGACAGCACACAAACACACACACACCATGAACGGGCACGTGTGTAAAAGACCAGAGAACATAGCTTCGGGCTGTGGAGGTGTGAAGCGTTGCAGAGATGCACGTGAATGCAGGGAGAAGCAGTACAGCAGTTGTGTTGAGAGAGACAGAAGTGTCGAAACAGGGATGAGAGCGAGCATGACAGAGAGAAACAGCTAACAAATAAAACGTTTAATTTTAAAATGGTTTTAAAAAATCACATGGATTTAGCCAATTTTAAACCTATAAGTGTCTATTGTTTCCAAGTGCTGCACTCGCTAAAATCACAGTTTCACTGTTCACAACTGTGTGCCCTTAAACGTAAAGTTAATGTGTGGAATTGCTTTCATGAAACACATAATGTCCTCTATTTTTACATTTAGATTACCATCATTGTTATCTAACACTCACTTAAAGGTAATCTTTAAAACACTAATAATTTAATAACAATACAAATCTCAAAATGAATATCTATTTCATACAGTGTATTATAATGTTGCAATGCCTAAATTAACTTTTTTTAGTTTATAGTGATTTGCCTTTTTGTTTTTGTTTTTAGACAAAAGTATTGACTTTTGCTATCAGCCATATAAAATAATTTCAGCTGTAATTTTAATACCTTTAAAATTACTCTACAGAGTTCAGGCTGAGGACTGAACATTTGTTATCCTGTTGAAAATGCATGTTGTGTGAGGTTTAAAGACATTGCTTTCAATCATTTATGAGCCTAACAGATACATCACCCACAATGCACCAATGCAGCGGTCATATTTCACACAGATGCATTTCAAGCACTGACAGAAGCTCCACCTGCATCCATATGGAAGATCCCTCCCCAACCACACACTCACTGCACAAATAAATAATGATGGAGAGTCTCATACCGGCATGTGTAAGGCCACCACACGTTTCATGCTAGTACTGCAAATCGGAAAAAAGTGCACCTAACCTAATAGAACAGAATAGAGATGAAAAATGAATGGGACAGAAGATGGACAACTTGTCTCTTACTTCTTCAACCTCCCCATGTCTTCCCTTTCCCTACTACAACAGTATGATCACTGAATAGACTGCATACTAGATCTGCTACTCTATCTCTCTACAATCAGCAGGTCTGTCAGAGTAAACAAAGTCAAATTTCAGCAGACTGGAGATTTGTCCACTTATGAGATTCCCGGAAAATGCATAAACTGATCAAATGTGTACCTTAAGCTGCATTGGATACAGTTGGCAGTGCATTGGCAGTGTCTGCTACAGTTACACTACCATTCAAAAGTTTGGTTTCAGTGAGATTTTTAAATGTTTTTGAAAGAAGTACCTTATGTAAAATTGAATGCAGCCTTCATTTTGAGAGCGTGCCCATGATGTTTTAAAGGCATGATGTTTTATAACTATGTTTTGGCTTCTGTGTCAAGCTGCTACACTAAAAGCATGGCACTACTCTACATGAAGAGATTGTAGGGATACGTACGAGTAGTCGTCAAACACACGGCTCCATGATGCGTGGTTCAGGGGGAGAGTGTGGCATCAGAACACACATAAATAACATGAACCGCACAGAAATGCACAGGCTGAGAACTACAGAGGATCAATTAAGAATTTGGGGGGAAAAAGGCACACAGACAGAGAATTAGTGGGCAGACAGAAAGGTCAGCAGATTCCTAGACCACTCACTGAAGCACGTGTCTGAGGGAAAGAGGAATGATGAGAAAAAACAATAGATGTTCGAATAGAGGGAATGATAAATGAATGGACACCGTTGTCTCAGGTGTTTCTAAAGGAAGCCTGTTTGGGCTGTAAATCATAATTGAGTGTTGTGCTACGGATAGGGCTGAATGGTATATTGAAAATTATATATGCAACATATTTGAGATGATTTTGCTGGTGATATAAAGCTACACGCTTTGAATTTTATTTGACTATTTAAATTTGTCAAATAAAAAGTTAAGAGTGTGTCACTAATCTAGTTTTGCAAAACCTTGTTAAAGTGGGTTTGATTCGTTTGTTTGAATCAATTCAAACTGTTAGCATCAATGATTTATTTAAAAATTTGAATTTGAAATTCTTTTTTGGAATCACTATTCAGAATATATCATAATTGGCAAAACATTACATTTCAAAAGTTTAGGGTAAGAAGGAGGTTTTTTCCCCCATATTTTTGAAAGAAGTATCGTATGCTCATAGATCCATTTCTTTTATCAATAATACAGTAGAACCAGCAACATTGTGAAAGTTAAATACCATTTAAAATAATTGTTTTAAATTTTAATTTAATTGTGTCATGGCAAAGCTGAATTTTCAGCAAAAATGGTTATTATATGCTGCATTGATGATCAATAAAAATGTATGATTTTTGGATGAACTGATCAAAAGTTCAAAAGCATTTATTTGAAATAGAAATCTTTTGTAACATTATGAATGTCTTTACTGTTACTTGTGATCAATTTAATGCATGCTGAATAAAATTATTCATTTATTTTCCTGTATTATATCTTTCATTAATCAATTTAAATCTAATTTGCAACATGGGCTGTTTGCTCAAAATAATGTTTAAAAAAACATTTTAAAACATACAGAAAATATTGTCAAGACAAATATGGAAATATATATTTTCAGCTATATCACCCAGCCCTAGTTCCTGAGAATATAAACACACAAATACTCACCCATTTTTAAAATGAATAACATGAGCCCTCTGAAGTCCTGTCTCCAGGAAGTAGCCAAGTTCCTGTTCCTGTGTGACCGGACCGGGCTTTGGACTGCGGTTCTGAATGCCAACACTAAGAGCCTGAAGACAGGACACAAGTCATCAAAGATTACTGTCAATCATAACTGAAACAAGCTCAAACTCTTTCCTGGACACTTCCTGTTAGTTATTCAGCAAATCCAGACCAAATGTCTTCAAAAGAAACACAGAGTCAGACTCTTTACTATATTTACCCGGGGAACACTTTAGAGAGGACTGCGGTTAGGTGGGTATGAGTTTCTAGCATGAAGGTCAAATGTAAAACTTCGGCTTCATCTAAAAAATGCAGCGTCAGCACTGCAGCAGAACACAAGCTCTGCCGTTCTCCTCTCTTGCCATCATTCACTCTCTCTCTCTCTCTACGTTCCCTCCCTTCTCCACCAACGCTAAATCACAAGCAGTAAATACTGAACACTGTGCAGGGGAATGAATCAGGGCACTACGATTCCAACAAAGAGAATTAGTGGTGTGAAAACCATCTAAATGAAACAGAGACTCATCTTCCTCTGCAAAGAAAATCAACTTTGACCTGTAAAAAGCTTTAATTGTGATTTAAAGTTCACAGGTGGGACAGGAAGAGATTAGTCTCACGGATGGCTGACTCTCTGCAGAAGTACTGTGCAAATCTGTCCTGCTGCCAAGAAAATCAATGTATATTTTAATGTCTATGAGAATGTGAATAAAAAATGTGAAGATGGAAGAAGAAGAAAAAATGTAGTGAATGAATATTTGGAAATACCTTTTCTACCTCCTGAAGATAGAGAAGGGCGATGTCTCCAGACTTCTCATAACAAGTGATTATCTCCTGGTCTCTGTCTACATTACGATTGGACAGTGATGGGGATGCCATGGGCACTTTCTCCAGACAGAGACCTATGAACAAACAGCAGAGAGAAGAGATGACTTACACATGCCAAGAGCTAGAAAAGCACACAGAGTTGTCCTAGTGCTCTGCCACATTCAGAAAGATGTTTATGACTTTTGACAGCTCATTTTAATAAAGATAATCTGAAGTGTGAAAAACAACCTAACTTGTTCCCTTTTAGAGATGTGGTATAGCAGTACAATAAAAGAATCATTGTGAAGAAGTACCATCAGGAATTAAGTAAATTTAAAAAAACAAATATGTATATGTATATGGCGTTATTTTAATGACATATGTAGCGCAAAAGCACATTAATATAACGCGCGAGCGTGGATTTCCTTCGCTCAGATACACGCCTCGCCTGGAGAGAGTGCGCGCACTTAAAACGTGTCTCTCCTCTCCCTCAAACTGTGTCCTGTGCACTCTCAAATCTCTCTGTGCTCATGCAATATAGATATTAATTATTTTCGCACCTGAATCTTACGATTTTTAGATATGGGTCAGATGCACTATTCCCTAAACCGATACTTACGATTTGGAGACCAAATATAACACTATAATGAATGTTTCATATTTGCCATAACATTACTACATTCTATTCTATGGGTTTAATGCATTTGCAGACGATGTAATTACATGTAACTGTCATATAACTGTATATTCACTGTTTTAGAGCAGAGTGCCATTGAATGTGTAGCTATTAAGTGGATTTTCATGAAAAAAAAAATCAGAACTGAAACCAATCTCCCAATAAATGTCCAAACAGCGATGCTAGAGCATTTATTGTATTATATATTGCATCATTTACATCTATTTTTGCATTTGATGTTGATTTGAGGAGTTGTTACTTATTATTGTCATCATACCAACTGAGAATTTATTGCAATGATTTTAAATTCAGTTGAGGTATCTGACATATTATGACATAACATTGATGTTTTATATGAAGTCTTTAGAGTCACAGGCTATATAATATGTTGTTTTTAGATAAATTGCTCAGAGACCAACAAGTTGGACAGAGGTTATACTAATCATCCAAGCACCCAATTCCTAGCCATTTCTATAGGCTGCATTTCATTAACATTGCTAAATATTATTAAACGGGAAAGAAATTAAAGATCCATCTTTGATTGTAAAAAGAATTCTAGGTTCAGTTCACTCAGCCAGTTAGATTTCACGTAGTATTTTCATCGGTCAGTGTTGAAGTTCTGATTGGTTTAAGCTTTATTTATATAGCACCTTTTAAAACAGTGTATACAAAGTAGCCTACTTTACAAAGAGGTAGATTCGCGCTCGCGCTTTATATTAATGTGCTTTCGCGCTACAATAACGCGCTCTCGACATTTGTCATTAAAATAATGCCATATATGAAGAATTTTTTTTCTTCTAAAATTAGCATTTTTCTCAGGCTCCTATGTTTATGTTTAGTTCGTTCACTTTAATGGCAATGAAAAGAACACTCTTCATACACACACACACACACACACACACACACACATATATATATATATATAGATTCAAATAAAACAAATGTAAATATATCACATCAAGTATCTTTGCAGTGTTCTAATCATGAAAAATAATGAACATGAACATGAAAAAATTAAATGGAAAAACATTAAAAGAAGTTTTTAAAAATTGTAAAAACGAAATCAATAAAACATTCTATCAATTACAAATTATATTTTATTTATATGCACGTTATCCAAATGAACTACAGAACCTCTTGTGTTAACTAGAAAAAAATTGACATTAATCCAAAAAAAAAACTGACATTTGAATTACTGAATTGACTGACAGCACTTACATTTCATAAGTCACCCAAGGCTGTTTATTTGTTGCTCGAGGAATCGATATGTAGGTACCACATGGCTGCTATCATACCAAAGCCAAAATTCTGCCATCAATCAAACCCAATTTCTTTTAAAATCATAGTTCCATTCATTTCTACTGAGCCACAGAATTCACTCGTGAAACTTTCAGAAGCACACAGCACTTCTGTCAATTCTAATTCAATTGACTACTGAAATACACCGTTATGGTTTGATCCTTACTTTGAGGATATTATATTCATTCTTAAAGGGTCAAACTGAACACGTTACTCTTCGTTCATATAATTCGAGTTTGTTTACTTTGTTCTGGCTGGACAGAGGAAGTGAGACGCTGAAATATACATGTGTGAAAAAATCAAAGACCTCGGACAAACCAGAAAAGCTTTAAATGTTTTAGTACGAGCTGATGTCTGTTCCACTGCCGTATCTCCTTGCCTCGTCTGGGTCAGCTGAGAGCCAAGTAATGTGGTAAAGATACAAGCATGGTTCCTTAGAGATGTCACACAATCTGTGGCCAATCTCTGTCTACTGGCTTCAGCATCCGAAGTCCCATCTTAAATCCCTCATAGCATGAGGAAAACAGGCCAGACTCAGCGCTCAGGTGGCTGGTAAACATGATGAGAGTTGTTTGTTTGGCTGCCATTAGTATTGGGTTCTCCACGCAGATAAAGTTTTCATGACAGAATGGCAATGTGACAGGAAACAGAAACTGTAGCCCTCCTAACTACTTTTCAAACTGCCTCCTGCATGTATTCAGGCTGGGAGAGAAAGAGAAGACACACACCACCACACTGTAGTATACTATAGTAAATCAAATATAGTACCACAATCACTTCACATTTTCAGACACACAACTAGAATAATTTAAATACATCGCTAAAATACAGATAAACACCAATGATACTGGAAAGGCTCCAACCACGACTGGTTAAAAGTCAATTTTAGATTTACCTGGCACTGAATTATCCATAATCATAAACTTTTTATTCCACAAATAATCTGGTTTTCATTGACACCCAAAACTTGGTATTGCTAATATTGTTGGATACTAAGCACACAGCTAAAATAACGAAGGAGTGGCTTCACAACAACTCTGTGACTGTTCTTGAATGGCCCAGCCAGAGCCCTGACTTAAACCCAATTGAGCATCTCTGGATAGACCTAAAAATGGCTGTCCACCAACGTTTACTATCCAACCTGACAGAACTGGAGAGGCTCTGCAAGGAGGAATGGCAGAGGATCCCCAAGTCCAGGTGTGAAAAACTTGTTGCATCTTTCCCAAAAAGACTCATGGCTGTATTCGATCAAAAGGGTGCTTCTACTAAATACTGAGCAAAGGGTCTGAATACTTAGGACCATGTGTTATTTCAGTTTTTCTTTTTTAATAAATCTGCAAAAATGTCAACAATTCTGTGTTTTTCTGTCAATATGGGGTGCTGTGTGTACATTAATGAGGAAAAAAAATTAACTTAAATGATTTTAGCAAATGGCTGTAATATAACAAAGAGTGAAAAATTTAAGGGGGTCTGAATACTTTCCGTACCCACTGTACATAATAAATGTACACAGTACACACATATATATTATGTAAACAAAAAAGTTTATTTTGGATGCGATTAATCGTTTGACAGCACTAGTTTTTACTATGATACATTTATTATTTTTATTATACTTTTAGTTATCATACTATTTTATTAGTTGTTACATTATTATTTATAACTAACAGTTTTATTAGTTTTGTTGTGTCAATTTTATTAGTTATTTTTAGTGCTGTCAAACGATTAATCGCATCCAAAATAAACGTTTTTGTTTACATAATATATGTGTGTGTACTGTGTATATTTATTATGTATATATAAATACACACACATACAGCATATATTTAGAAAATATTTACATGTATATATTTATATTCATATAAATTATATCATATATACAGTGGGGGGGTCTGAATACTTAGGACCATGTGATATTTCAGTTTTTCTTTTTTAATAAATCTGCAAAAATGTCAACAATTCTGTGTTTTTCTGTCAATATGGGGTGTGTGTACATTAATGAGGAAAAAAATTAACTTGATTTTAGCAAATGGCTGCAATATAACAAAGAGTGAAAAATTTAAGGGGGTCTGAATACTTTCCGTACCCACTGTACATATATTTAATATACAAACGTCACATACTTTTCTTAAATATATACATGCATGTGTGTGTGTGTCTTTATAAATATACACAGTACACACACATATAATATGTAATCAAAAAGTTTTATTTTGGATGCGATTAATCGCGATTAATCGTTTGACAGCACTAGTTATTTTTAATATGTATATATAGTTTTATTCATTTTATTTCAGTTACTTTAGTACATAATGTTAAACTAAATGAAAATGAGAAATGTTGCTTTGGCAACTAGCTTAAATATATTTTATATTTGATTTTATTTCAATTAAAACATTTCTTTCATTTCAAGAAATATTTTTTAAATGGTTTTAGTTTTAATTTTAGTTCACTGTAACACTGATACAGCAAACAGAAGTGATGATCCTGACAGTTCAGGCTTACCTTTAAGTTTCCCCGATCAAGTGCAGCCGTCAAGTGTTTCCGTACCTCCTGGAGGCGTGGTCGGGGCCCGCGGGGACTGGCTCCCTGCTTGATGGGGTTTTCCTTGAGGTACTGCTGGAGTTTGGCCTCCCCCAGCAGAAGCTCCCCGAGATCATCTACAAGAGAAGCAGAGGTTGAACTAGGCACCTGAAATTACTCAAATAAGCGCACACATAGACGGAAAACAAATCATACACTAGGATAATTTCATCATAATGACAGTCAGCAAGCTCATGCACACACATTCATAAATGTACCACTGCAAATTACGGCAACATTTTCATTACTGGGTGAACTATCCCTTTCATCATTCTCTTCTGACTGAAAAAGTAATCGTGGAGAGTCGCCACCTGCATATCTGAACTGTAAAGTCAACACTCAAACACATTTGCAGTGCTGATTGTGAAAGCAGCATTACATAAAACACAGATATAATCCGGTGTTGCACCTGAACACATTCTTACAGGTCTTAACACACGCACAGCTTTGAGAGCAACCACATGTGGTTTAATCTGCTGCCTTACATGCACATCTTAAATCTTTCATCATCTCATACGAGGCGAAACAATAATGCTTATTAATATGTAGCTTTTAATGAACAGGGCAAAATGCAAAGATGGAAACGGGCAATTGAATCCACAACTGTGTTCATTATAGACATTAAACTAACCTTTAGGACAGTCTTTTGTAATTCACACATTTTACCCAGTCAAATAGATCATCTTCCAGATGTTCACGAATGATATTGATGTAAAATATTGTTTTTGTGAAATCTTTTTACTTAAAATCTTTTTAAATATTCTGAAAATAAAAATAATAACGACTAAACACATATCATTTATTAATAAATAATTATAATGATATATTATTATTAACAGACGTTTAAGTATAACTTTGTTATTGTTGTATATTTAATTTCATTTTTTACTTATAACCACTGGAAATAAAGATATTTCTTTGTAAGTTTTACATTCACACATGCCAATTGTAAGTCTTTTTCTTTAAAGAAATTATTTTGAAATCTGTCATTAATAAAGCATTCAAAACCATTTTCAAAGAAATGTCCTCTCATTTGAACTTATATCTAGTCATATTTGTGTATAGTGCTTTTCTATTCTTTTTTTTATAAATCTTTTATTATACATCTATTATTTATTACTTTAAAGTTTTCTTTATCTGTGTGATTTAATTTGAATGAAAATGTTGAAGTTTAAATATGCACCATTCAAGTGTATCTAATGCAAAAGAGAACCCCATATTTTGACATTGACAATAAGTCAAATAATGACTCTCCATAAACTACTAGACTTAATACAAATATGAATTATAGAAACTATGAAGATGAATGGAGACAACTGTATGGACAATCAGGAAGTGTACTGGACAGAAAAGCAGACTAACACCAAAAAGGCTTTAATGTCACATTTTAGACACCCTGAAAAGAAACCATTCTCTCAATGCTTTGTAAATGTGTAGTTACACGTACAGGAATGAACGTGATACGGATTTTGCCACCAGGCCTGAGACTCACTCACACACACTGTCCGAGCTACCGCGTTAGCCAGGAGTAACGCTACAGAAGACAGAAAACACACACACCGTTTGAGATGAGTTTCGCAGACAGCTGCCGCACGAGTTCTGGTATCTTGTCCCATTGTCCCTCTGATCGACAGCGCTCTATTTCAGTCTCTAATCGCGACCCGGACTTTCTGGCTGTCATCTTTCGGCCTCCTCCCGAGTCCTGACCAAAACACGACCGGAGCCGCAGCACGGAAACATCAAAGACCCGGAGAGGAGCATAAAAACATGAACCGGATTACGCTTCCGGGCCATGGCACTGAACTCTCATTGGACAGATTCCTATCACGTGGCTATTATTTTGACTCTCTCATTGGACAGATTCCTATCACGTGACTATTATTTGGACTTTTTTTCTCACATGAATTTTTATTTTTTTATTTAATTTGTTTTATTTGTATTTTATTTTATAACATGTATTTCTGCTTGGTCAATCATGGCCTACAGCAGTCAATATTTCTGAATAATGACATTCAATAATCGTGTGCCGTCTTTCTGTCCTTGCTACTACCAATAATATATATATATATATATATATATATATACACAGATACTAGAGCACTTTTTAGTCTATTAAAGACATATGTATTGTGTACCAGTTTACATGCGTGATAATAATGAAGTTAGATCATATCTACTGTTTCTTATGAACTCAAACTCTAAATTCAAGGGTGAATAGCCCCAAACAATGTGCATTTACTGTACAGTCTTGTATTGTTTACATGAGTGTGTCATTTTTAATGCAGTTTAAAAAGATTTTTTGTTTGATTTGTTTTAATCAAGAATAATTTTATCAATAATTTATTATTTTCTCATAATTTGTACTATTCTGCTTTCTGATGGGACATTTATAGCTGAACTGCTTTGTGATTTATTTCAGATTCACTCTTGTAACTAGTCACTGGCTGCAGGATGTTCTTGACTTTGGCGCTTTTGCGGAAGGGAATCCCAGGAAAGCAGTGGATTGGGAAGTACCGTCGACCGCGGGCAGTCACCTGGCAGATCAAACGCAATGTGATGAAACGCCTGGAACAGGAAGCCGAGAATGAATACTGGATCAGCCGGCCATTCATGACGCAGGAACAGGAGCAAGGCCACGCAGCACAGAGGCGGGAGTGGATGTGGCAACAAATCAAAGCTACACGACAAGCCAAGTTTCCTGAACACAAATACATTGCAGACCAACTAAACCACCTGAAAATCACCAAGACCTGGCCCAGCTAACCAGAACATCAAAGACTGATGCATCTCAGAGTTCGGAAAGAGGGAATTGATGAAAACCTAGGACTCTTTGTGTTTGATTTGATATTTTCTGCATTCTGCATCTGTATGTGATATGTGCCGTGTTTATAAATGACTTCTGATCATCACATTTGACTCTTCTTATTGTTTTAATTCATAATGTAGTCTTAACTGTAAATTCTAATTTAATATGGTAAATTCAATTCCAAACAAATTTGTCTGTCAAAAGTAACAGCTCCAAAAAAAAAGAATTACAAAATCTGGGTGAATAAACTGGTCACTCTTTCAATTAGATATTTTCAATAAATCAGATTTCCTAACATTCATTCATTCATAAATCATTATTGTATATATTGCGTAGACCAATATATACTGACCTGTTAAGCACAAATAATTACTCCCATGCGTACTCCTATAATTGCTCAAAATAATATGATATACCGTATTGGCCCGAATTTAAGACGACCCCCCTTTTTCCAGATGTACCTTTTGGAAAAAGGCTTTTAAAAAACCAAATCTTGTTTTTTCTCAGTAAAACACATTTTGTCTTCAATTATTTTCATATTGCATATTTTTCCTATTTTAATTTTTGTTTTGAAAGTATGGTAAAAACTGGTAAAATGTACCAACAATCACATTTAAAAAATATACACTTTTTGATATACCATTAAAAAAACAAAAATTCAGCCCATCTGAATTCGGACATTTCGGCTATCCATCTAATAGTAGCCTACCAAAATCTTATTAACATTAGAAGTAGAGTTGGTCCCATCAGGCTAACGTGACAGTCACGACTCATGCAGCTGTAAGGTTTTCTTCTTCTTTTGTTTTTACTCGCGATCTTTACAACACGCGTTACATTACCTATTTCACGGCACACTCGTTTTATGCGTATTTGGCGCCACCTATTGTTGTGGGTGTATTATTGACATGTCAAAGTCTAGACCCTGAATATAAAGACCACCGCGGTTTTTCAGATGTATTTCCAACAGAAAAACATCGTCTTATATTCAGATATACCATTAAAAAAACAAAAATTCAGCCCATCTGAATTCGGACATTTCGGCTATCCATCTAATAGTAGCCTACCAAAATCTTATTAACATTAGAAGTAGAGTTGGTCCCATCAGGCTAACGTGACAGTCACGACTCATGCAGCTGTAAGGTTTTCTTCTTCTTTTGTTTTTACTCGCGATCTTTACAACACGCGTTACATTACCTATTTCACGGCACACTCGTTTTATGCGTATTTGGCGCCACCTATTGTTGTGGGTGTATTATTGACATGTCAAAGTCTAGACCCTGAATATAAAGACCACCGCGTTTTTTCAGATGTATTTCCAACAGAAAAACATCGTCTTATATTCGGGACAATACGGTAATACTCCCATGCACTAGAGAGCAGTGTACACGTCATGATGGCAAACCACGTTTAAAACTTCACTTCCCACAAATCAGTGGGCGCGAGCACCTTGGTCTCCATGACAGTCTTGCTATTGTTGTTCAGTAGATAATCATGGATGGATGAAGAATACAACTGCTTTTCTCGCCATTAAACCTTTCCTAATAAATCAGTCGACGATATGGTGGAATAATCGGATTTTCGTTTTATGTTCGCGGACTCTTTACTCTCCTCCACACGAGGTTTGATAGATAAGGTTCGGTCCAGCTCAGTGCTGGATACTACACCTTTTTCCTCACAGCACAGCTGTGATCCAGTCAGTGTGGGTCCGACTGTTTGTGAAGCATGAGAGAGCAGCGGTGGTGCAGCGGCCCGGTCCGGACACAGGAGGCTCGGAGTCGGATCACAGGCTTGATGGAGGAGATGCGCCTGTAACCGCTTCAGGAGGATGATTTCACGATACAGCCGCCGGCCTGTATCTCACAGCCTAGAGATGTGCGTATAAATCACACAGACACGATCTCAAGCTGCCTACTGCATTTTTGGTATCTCAGTTTCATAGGTAGCCAGCTCACTAGGCTACTGTGGACTGATAGATAGATAGATAGATAGATAGATAGATAGATAGATGGATAGTCAGAAAGATATTTGGTTTGATCCATAAATAGACAGACAGACAGATTTTTAAATCGAACCGTAGATAGATAGATAGTCAGGTTATCAATCCAGTTATTTGGTAGATAGATAAATACTCATAGAAAGATCTTTGGGTTGATGTTTAGATAGATAGATAGAACGAAAGAATAAACTTGGGTGGATAGAAGGACAGATCTATTGATAGATTGATAGATTCTAGAAGTGGTAAATGCTCTTCCTCTCTCTCTGCTGGTTTTGGTAGTCGTGGTTTGTCCCGCAGCTGTCTGGACCAGCATCCTCTTCCAGAGGAGGCAGATGATGATACTGTGCATCCTTCCAGACTCCTGCATGATCTACAGGAGGACATGTCCTCATACAGCAGGTGAGTGACAGGTATAATGTGTGTCTGTACAGGTATGTATTAAAGGGACAGGCTTTCATCACTGAGTATATTGTGTGAATTGTCGCATAATATTCACTCTTTCCAATCTGACGTTTGAATTTATGAAATAATCACACTCACACTCTCTCTTTCTAGGTCTGAGGAGTCCTCTGCGTCATCCGTCAGATCAGGATGTCAGACACTCACCACAGATGACACAGCTCAGTCTTGGTCTGGTATCCATAGTTACACGGGAACTGGCATCTCTACAGAACACAGCTCTGTCTTCTCGTGGGGCTACGATGTGAGTGATGACTTGAATTCTAAGGGGCCGTTCACACAAGATGCTTTCTTGTTATTAACTTTACACAGCGTGTTCAAAATTGGGTGCTGACAAATTCAAATTCCTCTTTTTTTTTTCCCTCTTTCTTTCTCTCTTTTCCCTGTAGGAATTTGATAAAGCTGCCTCCAGGCAGGTCCAGCAGATGTTTGAAGAGATTGAAGAACTGTTGTATGAGAGGAAGTGTGAAACACAGCTCAAAGGCCTGCAGGAAGAGTGTCAAGAGTGGGCTTCGCGATTCCCTCATCTACGGTACGCACTCGCACACATGGACACACTCAGATCTGTGAACATCAGTGACGCCTTCGTAGTCTCTGGTTATGGCTGCGGAATTACTCTTGTTTTAATCACGATCATGATTTCTGCATCTCTCAGTTAATTGTAGGACTGGGCGATATAGCTAAAAAATATATCAACGATATATGTTTCATATCGTTCGGTATCGATAATTATTGTAATTTTTTATAACCTTTTTTAAAACAGAGCAATATAATTTTTTTATTTATTTAACCAGTGGATTTTTTTTTTTTTTTCACAAAATCCTTAGTATGGATGTAGTAAAACACCCACAGATGTCACAGAGAATTGGGAGCTAATTCTCTATTTCTAAAATTAGCACCCAAAAGCAGTATTGGATCTCATTCAGCAAAAACGAAGTAGATTGGTGAATTTTTGAGGAAATAATTGTGATTATACGTTTGAACTTTTATCACCCAGCCCAGTCTCTGGATATTAAACCTGTTTGGGGCATTTGTGTGTGACAGGATCCTCGGAACACAGCTGGTGTGTCCTACAGATGAAGGATTCCAGTGGTACGCCACACCAGCTCATGTGCCCATCCCCTCCAGTGGCGGCCAGAGCAATGAGAAAACGAATGAGTGAGTCATCTGGGGGCTGTGAATGTGTGTGTGTATGAAATCATTAGTGTTCTATAAAGCTTATTTTTCATGCCACTGTGTGTGTGTGTGTGGCAGGTTGTATGTGCAGGGTCGGAGGGCAGTTTTGTGTCGGCCCACTTTGGAGGTGACCCACCCTCATGCCATGCCCTGTAGTAACAATGGAGATGAGTTGCCCAGGGTGATCGAGGCCGAGGGACTGGTAGAAGAGTATCTTGCATTTGATTGCAGGGAGCTGTGAGTTTGTTTGTGTGTGACAAATAGGAGTTTGTTATTAAACATCATTTGTCTGATATTTTTCTGAGATTTTTGTAGATGAATGATATGTGTGTTTATCTAGGGATGAGGAATGGGAACGTGAGTATGTGAAGAGACGGTGGAGGCGCTGGCTGCCTCCTGTCTCGCCTTATCGCTGTCGTCGGGAGGCGGTGCTTGATCTGCTGTTTGATGACGTGTGGTGTGAGCTCATCGGCTGGATGGAGGAGCTTGTACGTAGGCATTGGGAGGGTTTTGTGTCAGGTAGGATGAATTTTCAAATATTTGTATAGCAAAATGGGAACTGGAATACTGGGACTACCATTCAAAAGTTTGCGATCTGTAACATTTAAAAAAATGTTTTTTAACGATATCTCTTATTCTCACCAAGGCTGCATTTAAATACAGTAAAAACAGTAATATAGTGAAATATTATTACAATGTAAAATATATTTTTCCTATTTGAATATATTTTAAAAGGTAATTTATTCCAGTGGTGGCAAAGCCATTACTCAAATCTTTAGCATCACATGATCCCTCAGAAATCATTCTAATTTGCTGATTTAATATTATTATCAATGTTGAAAATAGTTGCTGCTTAAGATTTCAGTAACTCTTTATTTTGAGGTGTCCTTGTTTCACGTTACATGTACTTACTATTCTAATAACGATACATTATGCATAATTACATGCAAGTAACCCTAAGCCAAACCCTAATCCTAACACTAACCATATAGTAAGTACATGTAGTTAATTATTATTACCCAGTACTTAAATATATAATTACATGGTAACAAGGACACCTTAAAATAAAGCGTAACCAAGATTTCCTGTGGATATTGTAATTCTTTTGTATATTTTGTCAGGATTCTTTGATGAATAGAAAGTTCAAAAGAACAGCATCTATTTGAAGTTTTTTTTGTAATACTGTAAAAGTCTTTATTATGACTTTTGGTAAATTTCATGCATCAATGTTGAAAAAAAACATTTTTAAAAAAATATACTGACCCAAAACTTTTGAATGGTAGTGTATGTTTAGCAACATCGAAATAATATGAATGCAGATTTGAATCTGGTTACGACAGTGAGGTAAATGCATTTTACCTCACTGCCGCATCAAAAAAATATGAACAAATTCTGATTTATATTCTTGTGCATGAAACAATATATAGGGGATAGTGCACAATATCAGGACATCACCCTGAAGGAGTTCATTT